TTTAAAAAAAAAAAAAAAAAAAAAAAGCTTAGAACTTTACATGAATTGTAACAAATGGAAATTAAAATAATAAAACTAAAAAGCTATAATATTAAAAAAAAATAAAAAAACCATTAAAAAAAAAAAAAAAAAAATGTAAAATAAGAAAAAAATATATAATTAAAACGTTAAAATGTGATATTTATAAGATATTTTCAAATTTTAAATTTATCGCAATTTTTTTTAATATATATACTCCATATTGCATAAAAACGTTTATATTTTATTTATATAAAATTAAAAAAAAAAAAAAAAAATATACATATATACATTATAAAAGGTTTTTTAATAACTTTTATAAATATATATATATAACAAGTAAATATGTTAAATAATTGAATCAAATCTTTTTTATTTTCTTATTTCACAAAAAAAGAGACATTAATAACATAAAAAATATATTTAAAAAACATATATGAATTATGTTTCTATTTTTTTTTATCTTCCTTCTCATATAAAATATTTCAATACTATATATAATTATATATATTTTCTTAACGTTTTATTAAAAAGTATTATTTTTTTTTTTTTTATTTTTCCATTCTTAAATAATAGGTAGCCCAATTCGTTTTCTTTGACGCATTTTTATACGTTAACCTTTGTATAGGAATATATTCAACGTTTTTATATTTCATTAAATATTTCCTATTTTGATAGTAAAATTTTTTTGCACTTTCTGGATATGGTTCTAGTGTGTAATTAATATGAGGAGGATAAGGAGAAGAATAAGAATATGTATTGTTTGACGTTTTAATTATATCATATTCTTTTGACTTGGTTTTTTTATTTGGTAATTTTTTCCAATTATTTCCATAAAAATTCATTTTATATAAATCACTATAGGGATCATTTATTTTCCTGTTTATATTATTTATATTTTTTTTCCTTGAATAATGACGATAATTTCTTTTAACATTTAAGATAAAATAATTATTTATTATCTTATACATTTTTTAAATCTATATATGAATATGTTTTTTATTCCTTGTAATTCATCCTTTTATATTATTTTAATTTCTATTTCTTTTCTTTTTTTTTCTTCCTTTTCTTTTTTTCTTTCTTCTCCTCTTTCTTTTATTTTCTTTCTTTTGTTTTTATTTATACAATTTTTTATCAAACTCTAAAATATATAATAAAAAAGTTATCTTAAATACTTAAAGTATCTATTTTATTTATTAAAAGAAATTTTCACATTTTTCAACTGGATATTTTATTTTTTCAATTTTGTTTATTAATTATTTTATGAATATATATACAGTTTTGTTTTTAATATAAATATATATTTTGAATATACTGGAAAATATAAGAATCAATAAAATAAAGAAAAAAAAATTATATATAAAGTTATAAAAAAATAAAAAGAAATTTTTCAAATGTATGATAAGAAAAATTCAGAAAATTAGGACTATCGAAAAACAATTATATATTTTAAGATTATGAAGAAAAAATAAAAAGAAAAATTACTAAAATAATATTGTATAAATTTATGTTTTTTAAGAAAATTTTCACAATTTTTAATTAGTAAAATTAAAATTTCAAAATATATATATCTTAACATAATTTTTGTGATTTCTTCCTTTTCCTTATTTTTTATAATTTTTTTTTTTAATTAAAAAAGTATGAAAGCACGTGCAATTTTTCATACTTCTATTTTGTAAAGTGAATTTAATTTCTATGAGAAAAAAAAAAAAAAAAAGATATAGACGTTGATTTTTCATAATAGATATTTCTCATTATGATTTACTTTATATAAGATAAAAGATATATTATACAAATGTGCTTTCTTTTTTTTTTTTTATAACTTTTAAAGGGTTTCGAGGTTCTAATAAATGTTTAATTTTTATTGAATTTTTTTTAAGAAACGGTATTTTCGTGTATATGCGTATATATGCATTTATAAGAGAGTATGTTGCATACATATTTTATTACTTAAAAATATTTTGTTTTACCAACTTTATATTTTTAATTTTAAAATTACAAGAAAATGAAAAATAGATATATGGATAATTGTTAATTATAAATGTACAACCAAAAAAAATTAAAGCGAAAAATATAAATAGGAAAATATTTAATTCTAAAGCTTTTTATTTGTAAATAGTTAACTTTGGTTACCTAATTAAAAAAAAAAAAAAATGTATATTTTTTATAATTTTGATATTTTTTTCGTAATAAAGTTGTGGAAATTCGATAAATTTAGTAGAACAACAATAATGTAATATTCAATTTAAAAAATAAAAAAACTAGTTTCTTATAAATTAAAGATTTATTCCATTTATATCTTGAACGTGGTGTTATTAAAAAAAAAAAAAAAAAAAAAAAAAAAAACAAAAAAAAAAAAATTAAAATATGAAAAAAAAACTATAAGAGGAAAATAAATTAATGATAAAAATAAATAAGGCTATATTAAATGTTAATATTTTATAAAATAAAAATATTCCTAATTATTTTGAATACAATATAAAAAATTAACGAATTATTAATATATTCTTCTCACTAATATATAGATACCTGAAAATTTTAAGAATTGACATAAACCCACATTTTGATAAGGAAATGTCACAGACAATTTTTAAAAAAAAAAAAAAAAAAAAAAAAAAAAAAATATTTTGTTGCAATTATATTTTAATTTTTAATTTCATATCAAAAATTTATTGAATACAACTTGTATTTCTATTTATAAGAATAGATTCTTGGAAAAAACTTTTTGGAACTCAAGTGATTCAACTATACTTATTTATAAAGAACATCATAAAGTAATGAAAAAATTAAATAAAAAAAAAAAAAAAAAAAAAAAAAAAAAAAATTAAATTTATATAAAAAGTGTATTGATATGAATTTTACAATAAACTGTATATCAATTTATTAGTAACCTACTAATGAATTGTATTAAATATAAATATTTATTGGTTGTAATAATTTTTATTAATATTTCTTAAGTTAAATCTTTTTAATTTTATTTAATATTTAATATATATATATATATTTTTTTTTCTAATATTTTTTATTACATTTATATCTAAAGATATTTTAAAAATACATTACAAAATATACAAAAAAAGTATAAAAGTTAAAAACATATTGGAAATTGATACATTTATTTTTATTGTAGGAAAAAACAGTTGAAACAACAACTCACAAAATCATAAGAAATATTATTATAAATAAAATAATAAAATATATAATAATTTATGTAAAGACATATATATATATATATATATATATAAAGGTATAAATAAATTTTAAATATTATTGAGACAATATAATAGAAAATATACATTTATTAAAATTTTTATATCTTTTAAAAAATGAAAAAAAAAAAAAAAAGTATTAATATTTTGTTTATTTTATTTTTAAGATTATATTTTATTATTAAAATTGTTCATGTTTCAATTTAATTTTTAGGGTTGTAAATTTTTATAGAGTATAAGATTTTTTAATAAAATAATGAATTATGTAAAAGATAAAACATCATTTTTTTTTAAAAAAAAAACAAGTAAAAGCGAGAATAGGAATGAAATGGACATTTTTTCTACTGATAAGAATAAATATGAACACAATTTGAATGCAAGCAGTAGAAGCACAGAATTAAAATCAGAAAAGATTAAAAATAATTCATATCATAAAGAAAAAAAATGCACTAATACCTTAATTATTAAAGATAAAAACAACGATGAAAATTGTATGAAAAAAAATTTATCAAACAATCAAATAAAATTTATTGACAGGAATAATAGATCTTTTGGAAAAATAAGTACAGTGATAGATAATAATGGAAAAGAAAATAAAATAAATGAAAATGCACTGAAAGGTAAAAATAACAATATGCTTTTTAAATATAAAAATTATTATATAAATTATTATGAAAGGTGCATTAATATAAAAGAATTAAAAAAAAAATACGAAGAAAATCCTAATTATGCGAAAATTTATACATTCAATGATGATATAATTATTGCAGAAAAAAGTGTATTAAATTTGTTATCATCTTATAAAAAATTGAAATTAATTAATTATAACTCAGACAAAAAAGAAACAAAAAATAATAACACAGATAATGCAATTAATACTAACAAAAATACAAATATATTTAATTTAAACGATAACAATAGAAATGATTTATATAAAATCTGTGCATATAATTTAAATGATGGTAATGCATATAATGTGGATAATATAAATAATTTAAATAAAAATAAAGAAAAGAATGCAGATAAAAATAATATAAACTATTTGAAAAAAAGTAATGTTATTAATGTAACTGAATGTAATATAAATAATTTATATAAGAATAATAAAAATGATTCACATAATAATAATATAAATAATTTGAATAAAAGCAATATTATTAATGCAACTAATTGTAATATTAATAACTTAAGTAAGCATAGTGTAAATAATGTACATAATAATTTAGATAATTTAAATAGTACAAATGATATATATGAAAACAATTGTATAAATAATGAATTCAAAAAAAATAATGTATTTAGTTCTCACGGCTATATATATTATTATATGAACAATTTTGATATATTTAGTAAAAATTTACTTAAGGTTTATTTAATAGATAATAATATTAAAAGTCAATATGATGAAAAAGGAAAAGTTGACAACAGATATCATAGTAACAACAACAACAACAACAATAATTATAATAATATTAACAGTAATAATATAATTAATATTAATAATAATAATAACAATAATAATATTAACAGAAATAATATTAACAGTAATAATATTAACAGTAATAATATTAACAGAAATAATATTAACAGAAATAATATTAACAGTAATAATATTAACAGAAATAATATTAACAGAAATAATATTAACAGAAATAATATTAACAGAAATAATATTAACAGAAATAATATTAGCAGAAATAATATTAACAATAATAATAATAATAATAAAGAAAAAAAGAGTATTACTGAATATAACCACATATTAAAAAAAAAAAATAATAGAAGGTCTCTCATTAATAAAAAAAATAATAAATTAATCAAAAGAAAAAAAAAAATATATAAATTTAATATACTTAATAAAAGAACAATAAATTATAGCCGTACTTTTCACAATTCTAAGTTTAAGTATATTTTCCCAAATATTCTAAAAATTAATTACAGTGAATCATATAAAAAAAAAAAAGAATTGAAAAAAAAAAATAAAAAGGATAAAAATAATCATAATGAATTCTCAAATAAATTTAAAAATAATATTAAAGGCATATTTCCTGTATGCGATGTTTTAACAAACACATGCATTTTATTGGATGAAAAAGGGAAAACAAATGTTAACAAGGAAATATCAAAAAATAAGTTTGCAATTTTACACGAAGATGATCCAACAAAAAAAGTAGATAATGAAATAAAAAAAAAACTAAAAGTAAGAAAATCAGATATAGAGGAATATAGAATAAAATTAGATGACATAAAGAAAATTTTACAAATAGAAATTAAAAAAAATGAATTTATTCAAACAAAAAAATTAGAATATTATTGTAATGTTTACCATAATATGAAGGAAAAATTGAAATATGAAAAAAGAACTTTAAATATATTAGAAGAACAATATTTAGATGAAGGAAGAAAAAGTTCGCAAATAATGTTGAATACATTTGAAAATATTCATAAAAAAAAAATGGAATCTTATGAAGAAAAATTATTAGATTACAATAATTATGTATCTCATAGAATAATGAAAAATAATTTAGATAATTTAATAGAACAAACAAGTAAAAATAATACAAAAGTATTCTTAGAAAAAGATATGAATGCAAAAGATGTAAAAAATAAAAAATTAAATGATACATTAAATAAAAGGTTAACACATAGAAGAGGAAAATTATATATGGATAGAATAAAATTAGAAAATAAAAAAAAAAAGTTAGAAGAAAACCAAATAAAATTAGAAGATGAAAGAAAAAAATTAAACTTCGAAATAAAAATGTTAGATGAAGATAATAGAAAATTAGAAGATGAAAGAAAAAAGTTAGAAGAAGATAAAATAAAATTAGAAGATGAAAAAAGAAAACTAGATTTAGAAATAAAAAAAAAGTTAGAAGATGAAAGAAGAAAATTAAATGAAGAAACAAAAAAAAAATTAGATGAAGATAAAATAAAACTAGAAGATGAAAGAAGAAAATTAAAAGAAGAAACAAAAAAAAAATTAGATGATATAATAAAACTAGAAAACGAAAGAAAAAAATTAGACTTGAAAATAAAAAAAAATTTAGAAGATGAAAGAATAAAATTAGATTTAGAAATAAAAAAAAAATTAGATGAAGATAAAATAAAACCAGAAGATGAAAGAAGAAAATTAGATGAAGATAAAATAAAATTAGAAGATGAAAAAAGAAAACTAGAAGATGAAAGAAGAAAATTAAAAGAAGAAACAAAAAAAAAATTTGATGATATAATAAAACTAGAAAACGAAAGAAAAAAAATAGACTTGAAAATAAAAAAAAATTTAGAAGATGAAAGAATAAAATTAGATTTAGAAATAAAAAAAAAGTTAGAAGAGGATAAAATAAAACTAGAAGATGAAAGAAAAAAGTTAGAAGAAAATAAAATAAAACTAAAAGATGAAAGAAAAAATTTAGACTTCGAAATAAAAAAAAAGTTAGAAGATGAAAGAAGAAAATTAGACTTCGAAATAAAAAAAAAGTTAGATGAAGATAAAATAAAACTAGAAGATGAAAGAAAAAAATTAGATGAAGATAAAATAAAATTAGAAGATGAAAAAAGAAAACTAGAAGATGAAAGAAGAAAATTAAAAGAAGAAACAAAAAAAAAATTAGATGATATAATAAAACTAGAAAACGAAAGAAAAAAATTAGACTTGGAAATAAAAAAAAAGTTAGAAGATGAAAGAATAAAATTAGATTTAGAAATAAAAAAAAAGTTAGAAGAGGATAAAATAAAACTAGAAGATGAAAGAAAAAAATTAGATGAAGATAAAATAAAACTAGAAGATAAAAGAAAAAAATTAGAATTAGAAATAAAAAAAAAGTTAGAAGAAGATAAAATAAAACTAGAAGATGAAAAAAAAAAAATAGACTTAGAAATAAAAAAAATGATGATAGATGAAAAAAGAAAAATGCATTTAGAAATAAAAAAAAAGTTAGTAGATGAAAGAAAAATATTAGATTTAGAAATAAAAAAAAAGTTAGAAGAAGATAAAATAAAACTAGAAGATGAAAAAAAAAAATTAGACTTCGAAATAAAAAAAATGATGATAGATGAAAAAAGAAAAATGCATTTAGAAATAAAAAAAAAGTTAGAAGATGAAAGAAAAATATTAGAATTAGAAATAAAAAAAAAGTTAGATGCAGATAAAATAAAACTAGAAGATGAAAGAAAAAAATTAGATTTAAAAATAAAAAAAAAGTTAGATGAAGATAAAATAAAACTAGAAGATGAAAGAAAAAAATTAGAAAGTATAAGAATAAAAGTTAACGAATTAAAAAATAGTCTAGATGATGAAGCAAAAAGGCTAAGCGAAGAAAATAAAATTCTCAGTAAAGAAAAAATAAAATTAGAAAGTGAAAACAAAAAATTAGAAGAAGAAAAAAAAAAATTAGATGAAGAAAAAAAACATTTTTATTTGCGAATAAAAGAAGTAGCAAATCAAAAAAAAATAATAGTATCTAAAAAAGGTAGGAAAGTTTTAAATAAAAATAGAAAAAGAGTAAAATATAAAAAAATAAATTTTGATAAAATAATTAAAGTAAAATTTTCACATGAAAATAAAAAATTACATATAAAAAAAAACCAATTAAAAGAGCAATTAATAGGAGAACTAAAAAATAAAATTGAAAGTGAAAAAAATATTTTAAAATGTGAAAGAAAAAAAATAGACGATGAAAAAGAAAAGTTGGTTGAAGAAAAAAAGAAGTTGGATATAGAAAAAAAAAATATATATGAAGAAGGTAGAAAAATAGAAAAACCAGAATTAAAAAAAAAAATAGAAGAATACGAAAAAGAAACAAATGTAGTTATCAAAATTAAAAATAATGAAAAAGATATAGAAAAGAAAATAACGAATGAAACTGAAAATAATAATGAAGTTGAAAGAAAAAAGGTAGAAAATGAAATTAAAAATGTTATTAAAGATGAAAAAAAAATAGACTTGAATATTAAAGATAATAATGAAAAAAATGAAAAACAAAAAGTAGTAAACGAAAATAAAAATTTTATTAAAGATGAAAAAAAAATAGACTTAGATATTAAATATAATGAAAAAATTGAAGAAGAAAAAGTAGTAAACGAAATTAAAAATAATATAAAAGATGAAAAAAAAATAGACTTAGATATTAAATATAATGAAAAAATTGAAGACGAAAAAGTAATAAATGAAATTAAAAATGATATAAAAGATGAAAAAAAAATAGACTTAGATATCAAAGATAATAATGAACAAATTGAAGAACAAAAAGTAGTGAATAATATTAAAAATGACATTAGAGCTGAAGTAAAAAGAGACTTCGACATTAAAGATAATAAAAATGTTGAAAGAAAAAAGGTAGAAAATGAAATTAAAAATGATATTAAAGATGAAAAAAAAATAGACTTAAATATTAAAGACAATAATGAACAAAATGAAGAAGAAAAAGTAGTAAATGAAATTAAAAATGATATAAAAGATGAAGAAAAAATAGACTTAAATATTAAAGATAATGAACAAATTGAAGAACATAAAGTAGTAAACGAAATTAAAAACAATATAAAAGATGAAAAAAAAATAGACTTAAATATTAAAGATAATAATGAACAAAATGAAAAACAAAAAGCATTAAATGAAATTAAAAAAGTTATTAAAGATGAAAAAAAAATAGACTTAAATATTAAAGATAATGAACAAATTGAGGAACAAAAAGTAGTAAATGAAATTAAAAATGATATAAAAGATAAAAAAGAAATAAATCTGAATATTAAATATAGTGAAAAAAAAGTAATAAATGAAATTAAAAATAATGAAAATGTTGAAACAAAATTAGACATTGATATTAAGGATAAAATAAAAATTGAAAAAAAAAACATAATTGATGAAGTTAAAAATAATGAAAAATATGAAATAGAAAAAATAGTGCATGAGATTAAAAGCAATATAACAAATGAAAAAGTAAGTGATGAAATTAAAAATAATATAAAATATAAGGAAATAAAATATAATGAAATTATGTGTAATGTAAAAAACGAAGAGAAAAATCTAAATATGAATATTAAAAGTAATATAAAGAATGATGAAAATAAAAAAAATATTGAAGTTCAAAACAATACAAAAAATGAAAAAATATTTTTTGAAAGAAAAGATAAGAAAAATGAAAAAAAAATAATTAGTGAAATTAAAACTAGTAAAAATTTTGATGAAAAAAAAAATAATATATGTGATAAAATTAAGCATAATACAAAAGAAGAAATAAAGAAAAATGTAGATGATGAAATGAAAAAAAATGTAAAATATGAAAAAAATGAAAATAGGGAAGTTAATGAAATTAAAAATAATTTAAAAAATGAAGAAAGAAAAAGAGATGATGAAAATAAAAATAATTTAGAAGAAAAAATAAAAAAGGTTGATCACTTAAATAAAAGTAGTGGACAAAATGAAGAGAACAAAATATATGGAGAAATTAAAAATAATGTAAAGGAAAATAACAAAATTGAAAGCAATACAGAAGATAAAGAACAAAAAAAAGAAGACAAGGATGATATTAAAAGCATTTCAAAGAATGAAGAAAAACAAAATACATATAATGAAATAAAAAAAAAAAGTATAGAAGAAGTAAATATACCATATATAGAAAATTTAATATTTCCTTCTGATGTTAAGCTAATATACGGATGCTTATCTAAGATAAAAAATAAAGAACATATAAAAGTGAAAAATAATTCCACTGCATTATTTAATAAAAATTTATATAGTGTTGTTATATTGTATTATGAATTTTATTATTATAATAGTGTTAGTAATTTTAAAGTTGATTTAAATTTTTATGAAATCAATAATGACTTAATTTGTTTAATAGATGAACTTTTCAGCATACATAATGTAAATTTAGAAAAGAAATTTAATAATAGTACAGATGAAAAATTAGAAAAATTTGATGAATATCTATTAGATTATAAAGCTTTAGAGGGTGATAAAAATGTTTTATTTTTGGATTTTCAAAAGATGAAAATGAATTATTGTTTTGTAGAAATTGATATGATATTTAGTGATTACAAAAAAAAGAATTTATTACAAGAAAATATTGTTAAAGATAGTAATGATAATAATAACTCATCATTTATAAATGATAATAAAAAAGGAAAAAAAAAAAAAATATCTAAAAAAGTAGAAATAAATGAAAAAAAAGATGTTATGAATATTTTTTTAGAAAAGGAGCGAGTTAAAAATGATATAAAGAAAAACATTATTGAGAAAAAAAATAGTTTAGAAGAAAACATTATAGATAATATAGATGGTATTGAAAAAGAACCTTTACCAATAAAAAATACAGATTATATAAAAGAAGATAGAAAAATATCCTTTAATTTTTTATATAAGGAACAACCATATAAAGCTTTATTATTAAAAAGAAAATTGAATATAAGTTCTTCCGATGAATTAGATGAAAAAGAACAAAATAATTTAAAAGACAAATTAAATAATTCAACAAATAATATCATAATCAAAAATAATAATTATGATAAATTTAATAAAAATAAAGTAGGTAGTAATAATGAAATAGCAAAAATGAAAAGTAATGATGTTATTGTAATCGATTCACCTCAACCTGCAAAACCATTATACATACCAAAAGAATTATTAAATATAACCTCTATGCTGAGTTCTCAAACATTATCAATTCATAATATAAAATCTTTAAATCAAGTTAAATTCTTTTACGGATATAGTAAAACTAAGAAAGATTTATATAATTATTGTTATTCATACTTATTACATTTTATAAACGGATTTGATATATTTCCTGTTGAAGGATTCAAATTTCGACCTATTATTATTGATGGGGCTAATGTATGTGCAAAATTAATAAATGAAAAAAGTTTTAATTTTTATGACAACAATTTAACAACAATTTATGATTGTTATTTGTTACATGAAGCATATTTATTTTTTAAGAAAAAAAAAGTAGAAGATATCATTATAGTATTAAATCCTGTAACAAAAAAAGGGAATGAATATTTTTTAAGGAATAAAAAATTATTCAATTATTCATACCTTGAGCATTTGATTAATTTAAATGTTATATTAATAAGTAATGAAAAATATTATCATAATTGTAACGGAGAAATAATTAAACAAAGAACATACGATGATGTTCTAATATTACAAATAGCTTCTTATAGAAGTATGAACAAAAAAAAAAAAAAAAATAAAAAATAAAATAAAATAATTATAATAGCATCTATATTTTTACTAATATTCTATTATTATAAAACTTTAATAAATATCACTTTTTTTTTAACTTATTTTGTAGATGGTTGTGTTATCTCAAATGACAATTTTACAGACATAAAGAAAGATGAATCATATAAAGAAATAAAAGATATTATATCTTATTATGTAGTTAAGCATAATTATGATAAACAGAAAGGCTTCTTTCTAGAAGTAACAAAAAAACCATTAAAATATATATTAAATGCATTGTTTCAAAAACTTACATAATTATTTTTTTTTCCTAAATTCTTCAAATTTTTGTTTTAATTTCACTTCTTAAATAATTATGTTATTATTCTTTTTAATTTCTTTATCTTTTAAAATATTAATAATTATTGTTTCACTAATATTTATTATATTTAATTTTAAGTTAAGCAATGTTTTTATTCAATACAATATTTTTTTTTTTTTTTTTTGTATATAATCAAAAACTATTCTTTCTTTTTTTTTCTTTTTCTTTTAAAATAAAATGAGAAAATACTTATTTTATAAACATATTTTAATATATAAAAACTTTTTAAATTTAACTACTTAATTTCTTTAATTTTTCTTTATTAATATTCATTTAAAGTACAAATCTAAGGATAATATTCTTTCTTATTTTAAAGAATATATGAATGAAATTAAAAATTATTTTTTAATTCCCTTAATTTATCTAAAATCTTTATTTCATCATTTGTATTAAATTTATTTATATAATATTGTGTCCTAAAAAATGGGTTTATTAAATTTTCTTCTTCTACTGTTGATGGAACTGAATGCTTTTTATTTCTAATTTTTTGTTCAACCTCTTTCAATTTATTTCTCATGTATTCATTGTCTTTTTCTATGGTTAAAGCAAACCTATATTTTTTTTTTTTATAAATAATTAGAATATGAAAAAGTAAATAAATTAACTTAAAAGGTAATAATTATTTGATAAACAGATAAAAATTTTAATTAGAAAAACATAGGATATTAATATAATAAAAACATAAAATTATGTATATTATAGCAAACATAAATATATATATATATATATATATTTTTATTTTTACTTTAAATTATTGAAAGTATACTCATGACCACAATAAATTAATGTTTCTTTTCTCAAGCTTTTTATTTTTTCTATATTTCTGAACATATCTTTTGCACTTCCTTCAAAAAATCTGCCACAACCAGCTATAAATAGGGTATCCCCAGTAAATAAAATAGGTTTATAATTTACATCTTCTTTTTCATTTTTATCTACTTTATAAACATAATATAATATATGCCCCTTTGTATGACATGGCGCATGAATAGCCTTAATAATTAATTCTCCTAATATAAAAAAAAAAAAAAAAAAAAAAAATGGTTTTATATTATTATGTTTCTTTATTTTTTTTTTTTTTTCAAATGAAGAATCAAATAAAAAAAAAAATAAAACATATTTTTTTATTTATTATATATTAGTGAAACTCAATTTAAATTTTTTTTATTTGCCTAAATGTATAATTTGCTCATCATAAATTTTCTGATTTACTCCTGGAGTTGGTTCATATGCAGATCCAACCACTTTTATATTTTCTTTTAAGTTTCTTATATATACATTTCCTCCTTTAAAAATAAATATAAGAAAACATTATGAAAAAATTAAAGGGAAGATAATTTAGAAAAAAAAAAAAAATATAAGTACATTTATTTTTTAACCTGAATGATCTATATGATGATGTGTACACAAAACATATTCCAATTCAACATTTAAATTTTCTATCTTTCTCAAAACCTTAATTTTAAAAAAAAAAAAAAAAAGAAAAAATTAAATATATAGAAAATGAAAAAAGACACGATAATAAAGTGTAAAAAGGAAAAGTTTTACTTTTTCTGGTTCAGCTGGATCTACGCATGCTGCTTTTCTTGTTATTCTGTGAATAGAAATTAATTTTATAAAATATGTTCCTTATAAATATATATTTTATTTTGCATTAACTGTACATGTTTATTTTTCGTTTTTTTTATATATTCAAATTGTATTACTCATCAATTATAATGTAGGAAAAGTTATCACTTAAAACAGGAACAACATGTATTTCAGCACTTGGCTAATATAAAAAAAAGATAAAAAAAATCAAAAGGTTGCATAATTTACAATATTCTATATATTATTATAGGATATATATTCAATTCTATAAATAGATTATCTATATTCTTCTAAAGTATTTAATAATATTTTTGTTGCATTAAGCGCACATAGATATGAAGGTAAATTAAAAAAAAAATTATAGATAAAAAACTTCTTTATAAAAATTATCTTTATATATATTTTCTATGATTTTAATAAAATAAATAAAAAAGATTAGAATAATGTTTTTATATTAAACTTTAGTGAAAATATTATACCTTCATTTTCATAAGAATGGAAAAGAGATATATTTCAATTATATAAAAAAAAAAAAAAAAAAATTTCTATTTAAATATATTATAAATTTGTCCTGAAAAATAAATAAAAATTCAAAATTGTAAAATTTTATTTATCCTTGATAAATTAAAAATAAAAAAGAAAAGAATGGAAGAAGAAATGGAGTTACAATAAGTATTCTATGAAATATATATATTTAAAAAAAAAAAAAAAAAGAGAAGAACATTTTTTGTTTTTCTTTAACAAAAAAATAAGAATTTCATATAAAATTATATTAAAAATAATAAAAAACAAAAGTTAATAATTTTAATATTCCCAGAATAAAGAAAATAAATTAAGAATATATAAAGATAAAAAAAAAAATATTAAGTATATTTATCATACTTTAACCTAATTTTTTTCTAACATACATAAGCTCTTATTAAATAAAGAGAAGAAATTTCATATAAGAATATTTATATTGAAATATTAAATTATAGTTTTATAATGAAAAAAAAATAAAAAAGTTCCAATAAAAAAAAAATATATATATTATACAGAGTGTACAAAAAAGATATAAATTTTAAATAATAGTTAAAGTTTTTTTTTATATAAAAAAAATTAATTTAATATTTTTAAATATAAATGAAATGATCTTTTTAATAAATAATAGAATATAAATATAAATAAATTTCTCTTTGTTTATATTTGAATATCTTTTCCTTTTAAGAAAATTTTTAAACCTATTTT